AAACTTAACAAATTGCTTCGCGAACGCCGTGTGCCACACGGCGGAGTCGAGAAAGACGTTCGCGTTTCTGCCATTGACAGCTTGGAGACGGTCGCAAATCTCTTACGGCGAGACATTACGCCGTTTGCGTCGTTAGCCGCGCGCGTTTGCACTGTGTCGCGCACCAGCACTTGAATTGGTAATTTGAGTACGCGTCATTACGCACAGCGCCGCTGTCATATAGCAGCGCGTTTTCTCTGTCCGTCACAGTCATACTCTTCTTCCAAACGGGGAAGAAATGCGAGGAAGCGGCTAATATTGCGCGTCCCGATATATTGCAAAATATGTGAATATTATGAAATTCTTAGCAATTACATCCTTTATTAAACTTTTTGCTATTCTTGATGATTTACTAAACTCTCTCCTCATCTCTTTCTTTGAGCGCGTTTTTTTGCCAACGCAATTCTTTTGGGGAATTTTTCATTACATCACGCAATCTCTCGGACGCAATGCGAAGCTCATTTTCGAGTTCCGAAAATTGTTCACAATTATATCACGAACTTTATTCCGCGATCGACTTTCCGCGTCGACGTGATTTCCCTCGCGATGTCGTCGCATTCGACCCGTGAGCACACACAAGGCGCCCCACAAGAGAGGGACTTGATGCGGTACTTTAAAAGTACGTGGCGCACTCTCCGGCTACGTGGCGCGCGCGCCCGCCTCGCGCGCGGCTCGCTATCGTTTCGAACTAAAGTATCGCGGTATCGGCGGGTAGGAGTAGAGAAACGTGGCGCACGTCGCGCGGAACATTGCATTGCGGTCTCGGCGAAGAAATTACACTCCGCGAAATCCAATAGGTTCCAATCGGTACTCCGGTGGCCGGACAGCTTTATTTCCCCGACCTGGCCGCGCAACTAAACGAGGCTAAACGGAATCCGCAGCAGGACGTGCCCCATTCCGAAGGAGAAGAAGGAGCCGTCGTCTCCGGATTCCGCCTGGCGGATTCGTTTCATACGGCGCGATTTTTTTTCTCTCTCTCTCTCTCTCTCTCTCTCTCTCTCCCGGAGACTCCCAAAGGCAGAAGCTATTAACATCGTGACTTTTCTTCCGTTCAACGGCCAGAACTCATTACCACGTCGTATAAGAGTTCCGACAGTTTTCGAGGTAAAGTTGGATTAGAGAGGTTGGCAGCTCGTTAGCCGGCCTTATCGATCCTTTCTCCTGGATACCATTGTGCCCGGCGTATTAATTAAAAAATGAAAATCCGGAGCCCGTCCGACACACACGAGAAGTCCTACGTAATCTCTCAATGCGTACAAGTTTCCTCTCTTCTACTCTTTCTCTCTCTCTCTCTCTCTCTCTCNCTCTCTCTCTCTCTCTCTCTCTCTCTCTCTCTCTCTCTCTCTCTCTCTCTCTCTCTCTCTTTGTTTCTCTCCTACGCTCGGAAACGACCGCGAAGTTAAATTGCACTGGATCGCGCGCGCGCGCTTATCGATTTTCAATTTACTTTCCGGTATCAATAATTCAATGAACTCCGGAGTACTACTTAAACGAACCTAATGAAGTCTCAATGAGGTTGCTTATCTTTTCATGCCGTTTTTCATAGTCGAGAATGAAATTATAGCGCGCGTTGTGAAAAACTACGCGGCAGACGTATTGTGAATCAGCGATCGATAAAATATACGGTGCTGACGAACGCGCGCGATTCATAGTCGCGCTCGAAATAACAGAGAGAGAGAGAGAGAGAGAGAGAAAGAGAGAGAGAGAGAGAGAGAAAGAGAGAAATGTGAGAACCAGCACGTGTCACCTTAGAAAATCATTATCGAGATATGGCTCTAATCAGGCGCGAACAAAAGAGACAGTCTCGCAGCGCGTTCGAATTACTAACAAATGCGTGTTACGGACAGGTGAGGGAACCGAAGTGACATCTCGCAATCACTTCGGCCCGCCAATTTATCGAAAGAAAGACTAATGGTTACCGCGGAGGGTAGCACATTGCCCGTTGGGTAGCCCTCAACGGCTCCAAGTGAGAAAGAGAGCGCGAGGAAATATAACAGAGAGAGAGAGAGAGAGAGGGGGGAGAGAGAGGGGGCAGTGACAGATACCAGCGTCGGAATCGATCGATCTGGAACGAAATAAAATATGCTCGCGAGAGCACGGGCGTAATTACGAGCGTCGAAGAAAAATACAGCGCGCCATTACCGGAGGGTTAAGTGAACCTGCCCTGATCGGGTTGTACGTACAGAGAAGAAGGACGGCGCGATGAAGGAAGAAGAGGGTCAGTGGAATATAGAGAGGAAGCAAGATAGAGTGAGAGAGAGAGAAAAAGAAAAAATGAGAGAGAGAGAGAGAGATGAAGAAGGTAACGGGGCAAGGCGAGACGAAGCCGGAGGAGAGGTATTACTCAGATAACTGAGACGTGGAACGAATGAACGAAGGGAACCTTGGAACGAGCGGGAACGGAGTCTCGTAGAGGAGAAGGCGCGGAGAGAAAGATGGAAGCTGCTCTCGCGGGAATCAAGGGGTGGAAAGTACGGTTTGCGTGCTCGAACGCAAGTTCGCTTTAGCTTCCGGTTGCTCGCATGCTACGAGTCCACTTGTATTAGGATCGCTGTACGAACGCACGCACGCCCGTCCGCCCGTTCCCAATTCGGACATAGTCAAAGGCGGCACACAGACGCGCGCGCGCACACACACACACTCGCGCACACGATCGAACGCACGAAAGTCGTTTCGGCCAGAATTCACCTCCGACGCGGAAGCTAATCGCCGGTTGAATTAATTCCAGAACTGAGAATGGCTTCTGCCGACACGCCGGCAGTCGCTTGTCTGGAAATGGAAAGATATCGGACAATCCAGAGAGCGCAACTAATGGCCACCGGAAATGCTAGACAGCGGCGGCTAGTAGCTTGCAAAAGCGATTTCGATTGCGGCTTAGCGCGGCGAGCGCGCGGATAAAAGGTCCGAGCGCGTACGTACCACGGGGTCGCGCGTTTTGCTAAATTCATGTGACCCGGTTGACCCCGGGGGGATTCGAGGTTAAACTCCGATGCGGTTACAGGAAACTACTGTAGAGATAGATACAATCGGTCGTTACAACTTTCGCGGGAAGGCATATAAAAGCCATTAGGTAGACTAGATAATTTCTATTATTACGAGAATCGGCGAAGATAGCGGAGAGTTACCTTGAGATACGCTCGGAACAATAACTCTTCTATCTTAGATATATTCAGATAGTTGTCCAAAACTCTATAAGACAAAGAGAGAGAGAGAGAGAGAGAGAGTGAGGGAGATAGATAGATAGATAGATAGATAGAGAGAGAGAGAGAGAGAGAGAGAGAGAGGAGGAGAGATATATCTTATTCTACGTATAAATCATGTAAAAAGTAAAATTATATTCATATATATATATATATATGATTTCGCTTTCCTTCCCTGGTGAATACGTTTCAAAAGCTATTCAAAATCACAGCATGTTTTCTATCTTCCTTAATTACGCACAATATTTCGTTTGCGCGACAGATCCAGTCCCGTGTTTCAATTAAAAGCCCCTCCGGTACGTTATTCAACGAGCAGGCTCCATCCGAACGACAACCAGAAATCAATGAAAAATTTTCAGGATTAATTTCGAGGAAAATGGCAAAAACACCATGTCCGCAACATACGCCGAATCAAAGTACTTTTTTATGACTCCCGACGCGGGGGGTAGTTAAGTTAAATAATGAATGAGAATTGGCTAGCTCTGGAGGCCGGGGGGGGGGGGATCTGCTGGGGGTTCGGTTCGGGATACCGAGTTGCTTTGATGTCTGGCGGCAGCCGCCGATTATGGAATCAATTATTGCGCGGTACTCCCTCTTCCGTCCTCTATCTTTTTCGATCCGCTTTCGCTATCCGCTACCGCTTTTATTTCGCTCTCTTTATTTTTCCTCTCTGTCACTTTCTTTTTTTTTCTATTCGTTCCCCCCCCCCTCTCTCTTTCTCTCTCTCTCTCTCTCGCTTTGTGACGCGCAGGAAAAGATTCATTTCATACGGGAAGAGTGTAGAACATATAGTCACGGAGAAACCTATTCCGCGAAAGGTCATCCGCGCGCACATAAGGATACATACCGCTATTATCGTCTTATAATCTACGTCAATTATCCCCAATGACGAGCAATATCGCGGAAATGAGATTTTAACCGTTAGTATATGTGCTTATTTCTCTCGACTAACGTTCGAAATTAATTCTAAGAAGCGTAACATCGACAGATATTTTGTGAAAATAATTATTTTACTACCGATAACATTGTGAAAATTATTATTCAAACTGGTTGTTTATGGTCTTATGATCAAGCTATGCAATTTTAATAATCAATATTAAATTGAGGATCTTCTCAGGCTCATGAAGTTTATTAAACTTAATAAATGAATAAATAATTAGTCTTAAGGAGCCGTTCGCAGGATGTTGTGCGGAAAATATGTCTTATATGTGTGTACATATATATAAGTAAATTCACGTTTTTCACGTGTGTTTTTCAAATTGAAATTTAAATTCTTAAATTCATATAGGATGGCCCGGAAAGCCGGAGATTCCAGGTTCGACTCCTGGAATTTTTTCGCAATATTTTAAATCAATTAGGGGGGGTATTCGAGATCTATCATATATGAGATGCAAAACTAGCATCCTATATGAATTTAAGAATTAAAATTTCAATTCGAAAAACACACGTGAAAAACGTGAATTTACTTATATATGTGTACACACATATAAGACATATTTTCCGCACAACATCCTGCAAACGGCTCTTTAAGACTAATTATTTATTCATTTACTATGCAATTTTGTTTCTTTTAAGGTCTATTGCAAAACTAAATTATTATATAAATTATTATATAAATTTAAACTAATTAGAGAAAAGTTAAATTTTGTTCAACTAATCTCTCGTATTAAGTCAAGAATATAGAGACGCATAAGGAGAGGATATATGCAGTAAAAAATCATACCACATCGAGTTTTCCATAACAAATTATTTATTATTTATAAAATAAGTTATTACATATTATCAGATATATAAAAATGTTCTTCTTATCACCTAAGATATGGATGGGAACGTTTCGTCCTTTCCTGTCCTAGAACGTGGAATGAATTTGTATATTAGTTCGATGTTACACATATGTCACATACGTATATATGTATATTGCGAAATATATATATATATATATATACACACACATATATATAAAAAAGAAGAGACAACTGTCATAGCCACGCGTTGTACTATTTTTTTTCGTGAGATTCTTGTGTTTTATATTTCTCAATGTTACACGAAGTATATATTTACAAGTGAATACATATATATAATACATACACATAATTTGTATAAGTAGAAGATATTATATACGAAATTAATACGATATCACGAATGTTGTGACCATTCTCCGACAAACAGTACAAGGAACAAACACTACTATTATACGTTATTATTCGTTAAACAGACACAACAAATTGGTCAATCAATTGTCTACACGCTGCAAAGCGTTCAGTACAGAAAGTATAAGAATTGGACTTTTTTTTTGGTTTTCAAAATTGTTAATGCTAAAAATCAAATATTGCTTCTTAAAACTGACTTCTGTTCTTCTTGCTCTCCTTAGTGGAAATCACATAACGCTGCGAGACATATAAAGGCGGCGAATATCCAGTTGGATAATCAGGATCTTCAAACAGAATCTCGTATTCTTCCGTGGCAATGGTCGGCAGTTGTTTAACGATCGCTTTGTAAAAGCAGGTAGTTTGCGGATATAGAGCCATTACGGTAGAACCTTTCGGAAACAGAGCGTGCGGATCCGTTTCGGGATTGGCTCTCATAAGTGGTAGTGGCACTACTCGTGATCTCGATAACGTATGACGATCTTTTTGTTCCTCATCGATATCGTCGATCTCGTATTTGTTAGTAGCGGGATTGTAATTTACAACTTCGGCGAGTATCCAGTGCTCCTCTTCCTCGTTGTTTTTTACCATAACCGATACCAGAGCGGCCACCATATCGCCCATTTTTGCGATATACGTAGGCTCAGCCGGTATTGCGCCGCACAACGGTGGCGGCTTGGCGCCCGGTGTCTTTCCCACATAAAGAGGCAGCGTCTGCGCGATGTTCAACAACATCTTCATCAACGCTCCACGTCTGATGGTCTCTTTGTTGCCTGCGTTACGCGCCTGTATACGTCGCTCGTTTCGTATAGTGCGTATCTCGTTAATCTTGCTGAGGGCCTTACGTAAAACTTCCTCTTCCTGTTGGGCGTCGTTTATCGCGGAGCTGTACAAGTTCTTCAGCTTCTGCTGGTAGTAAGGAGAGACCTTGTCGTCCGGTGAGACCTTCTCGAGGGTCTTTACGATATTATTCAGGTTGTGCTTCGAGCGACTGGTATGATTTTCTATCTCGTGCACGAGGTTGTAAATGTTCTTCAAACGCTCTTGTATCTGACTCGCTGCCGCGTCTGCCGTAAACGGCATTTTGAGAAGTATAAAGGAAAGGGTATATTAACTCCAGTAGTTTTATCAAGCGAAATGAGACGACTACTTTCCTGTAATGAGAAAATCATAAAATGCTCTTTGTAGAAGAGCAATATTTATACATATATACATAAATTTATATATAACATATATTTATATATAAAATATTTATATTCGTTGTTTGCATGTAAAATATACCATATATTTTATTACTTAAAATAAACAATTAACAATAAAGTACATAGAGAAAGAAAAATACGCTTGTATAAAACAAATAAGTGTAACAAAGGTCAATTTCGGGTAAAAATAGAGATGTTAAATATGTTTAAACAAAATTAAAGTTTCGATAACTATATAAAAACAAAATGTTTCGATCTCTTACAAGAGCCTTCTTCGCAATTTACTTAACGATGTAATACAAAAATTAAGAGACTGTCGTGATAAAAAGTTCTGCTTTTATGTATTTACTAAAATTTTAATTTTATTTAAACATATTTAACATCTATGTTTAAAAATGACTTTTATTATATTTATTTGTTTATAGTATACATATATTAATAATTTGGCGCATATGCAACTGAATATGCATACATTTCTTAGATTTGTCTTATATATTGATATTTTAACTATGTTAAACATTTTTAAAGATAAAAAATTATCAACGTCATATTTCCCCCCAAAATTATTATTATTATTATTCGCCAAAGGCAAAATGTTTATTATTATCCGCTAAAGAAAAAATGTATTATTTGATTATTTTTAGATGCAAAATATTGCAATTTTTTAATGTGTTCTATTTTATTTGTAATAGTAATGAAATATTTATATTTTCATTAACTTTTAAAACTGTTTTAAGCGTTTTATGAGTACTGTTTTACGAGTACCACGAGTTCTACAATCGGTAGCTACGCCCCTTTCAAAATGGCTGACAAGCACACGACTTCGATCGATATACTTACTCGTTTTATGAACTGACACATCCAATCGGACGACTTCGAGTTAGTTCTGAATGTATATCTATATTGCGAATCGAAGTCTTGCTCGAATGTCTCAGAACACTGTTAAGATATCGCTGTCTAACGCGAAATTGTAGGAAGCACTATCACTCCGAGATGTTACTCGCTCAATCGCTCAGACGCATCTGCGCCATACTGCTCTCCCACTACCTTCTCCGTATAACGGAGTTTTCCTGATCCTCTACCAAGGCGATGCTGCCACCTCACGGCGAGTTTGAATAACGTCCGGTGGTAATATTCTTCGTCGCAGAGATGAAGCCACTAGTAGTTAGTACGATGCGTTCCGATGTTTTTCATTAAAAATTTGTTCCAAAGTTAACAGAATAGATACTTGATTATATATTTATACATATAATCATTTATTGTTAATTATTCATATAATACATAAGTATTAATACGTTTATGTATTTCATTATATATTTATTTAAGAAGCAAAAATGATACGGAAAATTAAAAATTTGATATTATATCACACGCGTACACATAAACTATAATATTCAATTAGCGATTGACTGAGAATTAATCTCGGGCTTTGACGTCTTTTAAACGAATAAATAATATATAAATAGTCGTGAAGAGCCGTTCGCTGGATGTTATGCGGAAAATATGTCTATATATATATGTGCGTGTACACACATATAAACGAATTCACGTTTTCACGTGTTTTTGTATTGAAATTTCAATTCATAAAATCATACAGGATGCTATACTTGCATCTTTTTTTCGCAATATTTTAAAATTAGTTCGGGGGGTATACGGGGTTCTTCATACATGAGATGCAAGTATAGCATCCTGTATGATTTTATGAATTGAAATTTCAATTCAAAAACACGTGAAAACGTGAATTCGTTTATATGTGTGTACACGCACATATATATATATATAGACATATTTTCCACATAACATCCAGCGAACGGCTCTTCACGACTATTTATATATTATAATATTCAATAATATATTTATATATTTATAAAAATTTATATAAATATTACTTAAAAAATAATATAATATCATAAGTATATATATTTATATATATATAACATAAATAACGAGTAGATTAAGTATATATGTTCAGTAGATTAAGTATATATGTTCATTTCTTAATAAGTTAAATATTTTACTTGCATATACATAGATATATACACATTAGTGATAGAGTTGTTTCTGATATGCAAAAAAAAATAGTTATACTCGAATGATTTTTCTTACAAAACTCGTTTTCTAAAATTTTCTACTCATATATTGTATAGACAGATCGGCTGCTGTGTCGAGCTGATGTACACATTGAATAAATATAGCGTGTATCATCGTTAACAGCACAACAGGTTAGCGGTGCTAGCAGCATCGATGTAGTGCCGCAATATATTATAATTTATTCACGCCCGAGACAGCGCTTGGAAAACTGAATCTAATCTCTTGATTAAACTTATATTTCCTCGGCAAATGTGTTGCGTTATTATATAAATTAAATTTCATAATAAAAGAGTGTGTGTGCAATCGCGAACACTCAAGATATGGTTTTACGAATTATACGATAATTAAATCTTCAAATGTTCGCGCAAAAGTGAGACTATACCATAATTATTAGTCAACGGAAACAATCCATCGCGAACATCTTTTCGATTGAAGATTTTTTTTCTTATCATTCACTTCGATAAATCGCGGCGGCGATTTATTCTGTTGTGAAAACGCGTCGCGTCGTTCCGAGATAATGCGATCGCGTGGCATATCACGTGGCATCGTGTTGCATCGCGAAGTGAATCGTGTGCACATCGGACACGTCGTGCATCATCGCTAACAGACGACCGGCTAATTGGCGCTAACAATGTTGACGCCGTAACGCACATCGCGTGTAAAACTTGAAAGAATCGGCCGAATAGATCGTTTAGACTGTTACCGCGCCTCTTCAAATCTTCGAGAGGGCCGCGAGTTCGTCTGTATACATATACATATTTACTGTGTATCGATATTTGCTCCCTGTTCCGTTATTACTGGCAGTACTGAAAATTTATAAGTTCACGTTACGTATCCTATATAGATTGTTCAATACTGCCGAAGTAATAACGGAACAGGGCCTTTGAACACCTGCCGATATATACGACGCGTGTATTCGCTGCAAGCGTGCTCCGAACGCAGTTTGCGCGCATCTCGCAGTTTCGGTCTTTTACGAACTCCGTGACCTATTCGTCACGACGAAATGCGTATCACGTGTGTTATCGCCGCGCGCATGTGCTGCGCACGCAAAACACACACACCGCATCGTCGAGAAATCGTCCGCGATTGCAACGGTCTCGTAAGTCTCGGAATACGAGCAAATAATATATAACACGCTTTAATTACACCGACAAAACACAGCGTCGAATGCTCGCGCGCTTCCGTCGGATGGAAATCAAATTCTTTTTCACACGTCTGACGGATGCGACCGCGAATGGGCCATTAAAACGTGCTACGGCGACGATGAGCTCAGCAACGTCAGTTTGAAGTAGCATATACGTACGTGTACGTAGCTAGGTTTCGAAATATAGAACAAGGTGTCTAACGAGGCGTAAGGAGATCTTGAGTCTCCAGCGAAGTACTCGCGCTATTTCACGCTCTCTGTGAGATTGTGTGTGTATTCTTGTTGATATACTCATTTCTCCGCTCCCGTTAGTAAATTTGCGCGACTAGCCCTGCGCGACAAATTCTAAATCGCGACACGTTTGCAATTGGCACACACAGATGAGGTTAACGAGATAGAGAGAATAGAAACAAAAGGCATATAAGAGCATTTTTATTTTAGTTGTTTAATTTTCTGGTTTTCTGGCTTATTTTTTGTTACGTGAACTGTAATAAAATACAAAGAATTTTTTATATTATTGTGCAAAAAGACACATAAAGAAATATATATATTTTTTAATATATTTTTAATTGCGTACTTTATATTTATTTTATACGCGTTTTATTGTTCATTAAAACGCGGTCTGTGTGTCACCAGGTGCGTAAAAATATATTCTATTTTAAATAACGTTGCGCATAAAAAGAAAAAACCAGACTGCACAAGCAAAAAATTATTATATTGTAACCTAACATTTATGCTTTTAGAACAAACAAACGATTGGAGGAGACAAAAAGCAAAATAATACACGTTGTGTGTACACACAACGAAACGTTCGTATCGATTATACGAACGGTTGATTCGAGTGTCTCGCGCGATTCGATTTTCATCTAATTTCGACATTTTATGATGCACGTTTTTAACGACCTGTTGCAGTCGTTAAATCAAGCTGCCGCGCCGGATATCGACGCGCGGCATTTCGCATACGAATCCTCTGTAAGGCGCAGAATGAAAATGTCAAACGCAGCTTGAAACGTTACTTGTGATGCGAAACGAGAAACAGGAGTTTGTAAGGAAAGGCAAAACGAGAGATGCAGAGTTCGACTCGTAAATATAATCCGTTCGAAGAGATTTCGATATCTCGTGACTCTGTCGCATATATTCTTTTCCTTTGTTTCTATAAAATGTACGTCACGTTTATCGTTCGATCAAGACAGCAAATACTTTTTGTCAATTGGTAGATTTTTCACATCTTGCAACTTGCCAGTATGTAAATGCGGATATAAAGATAATAATTTGTTTAGTTTAATCAGTTTTATAAAAATATAAAATAGAATTTTATATAAATATAGAAATAGAAATAATATTTATATAAAAACATAAATATAAAATAGAACAATATTTTTCTAACATCTATTTGTTAATCGATATTTATCGATTATTGAATGGATTTTAACATAAAAAATTATAAATTATATACGACAATATATAAATTTATAGGTAATACACATAATTTTCAATCATTATTTTGTACAAAATCGCCGCGTGCAGAGAGCGTGAAAATTATGTCGTCTGTGTATTGCGAGAGATAATCGCGTCTTATCCCTCATCTGAAACGTCTCTATTCGCAACGTAGTCAACAATCGATCCGCGAAAGACCGCGTGTGCACATTGCAGCGCACGCATCTTCTCCACGACGATTTGCCTCTTCGTATAAGAAGCGTAAGAGCTCGTAAGAATAGCGCGTGGAGAGAATTCAACTTGCAAATGTGAGACGTTCAAACAGAATCGATACGTCGTGATTTTCCGTATCCGTGGAGCGCCTTTTCTCTAAGTGGTATCGAGCGATTTATCGGGGAAGAGATCGAAGAAGGAAAACGAATGCAGAGAAGCCAAGAAGTCGGCATGCCTGCGCTTTGTTGTATGTAAAGGTAAACATATTACCATGTGTATGTACGTCAATGCGTGCTTTATCTTTTATCTCGCGAGGCTCTCACTTCCGGCCCGAATGGAATATTCAATGAGGGTGACGTTGTACACACGCGCGGCAAACCAAATATTCTTTTTCCTTCACGTTGACGCGGTCGATGTAACTTTAATCAGATCAGTCAGAAACGGAAAAGAAGAGAGAAATGATAGAAGTTTTGAATCACGACAGCGGTTACGGGACGGTAAGAGATTATTGATTTATACGCGCCTCGGTCCGAGATGTGTCAAGTTGTTGGATGCGCTTTCTTCCCCGACGCGAAAGGACATGGAAATCCCTTGTTCGTTGTATAATGCAGAACCGCGCGCATTAGTGCGATTAGATCGGCATTTTAGCCATTGCAACTTTTCTTCCCTCTCTACCCTCCCCCCTCCTCCTCTCGCTCTTTTTATTCACCCTTCGTTCACGTTTTATTAAGACAGTCTTGACTGCCATATGCCGTTTTTGTTGTTAACACGCGAGGGCTCTGTGACACGCGCGCCATAAGGGATAATGCACTGCCTCGTGTTTGTACAAGAAAAGCTCCTACGGACGGGAATTATCGAATTTCAGAAACGTCCGCGTATATAGTTCCGTTATATTATTTCAGTAAACACTCGACCAGGTGAGCAGCAGCAGGCGGGACGATAGTCAAAACTAACAGGCTTCTCTCGTCCTCTCTCGGGAACGATAATGCGTCTTTGTTGCAATGGAATTTGTCCACAAATATTGGCTCGAAATCATCGATATGTAACATTGTGAATATTCCAGCAAGGAGCGAGTGAGAAACAGTCAGTTATATCACTCTTGTATATCTTTTCGCTCTATTTGCATTTCTTGTCG